GCCGAGCGGCTGGCCGCTCGGCCCTCGCCAGTCAGCCCCCCCGCTCGCCGCTTGCCTTCCAAGCGGCGGCGGCGGCGTTGGCGTTCGTAGCGCAGGCGCACGGAACGCTCTTGCACTTTCGGGGGGATTTAAACATCCCCCCAATATTTTTTTTTAGTTTTTAGATTTTTGTGCACCCCTGGGGACTGCCCCAAGAGTGCACAAACCTCCCCCTCCCCCCCAAGTGCCCTCGGAGCGCTGATTTAGCGATCCGCACTCCGGGGGCCACTTGGCAATTAGATATATAGATTATTATTATTTTATTTTATATATATTAGATACCGGACAACAACAAGTTTTGAGGCTTGTTACAATGTAAGTTGTCCAAAGCTCTAAAAAGAAGCAGTTCTGAACATAATTACTTGAAAATATGCAAAATTTACATATGTTAAGATGTGTGTATTTAAGCATAATTTTACACTGTTCTCGATTTTACTGTTAACCTTTTGTCTAAAAACAATAAAAATCTTTAAATAAATGAAAAAAAGGATTCCCCTCAGGAGCACAAACCTTCATGCTGCACCCTCTCGCCCGCCACACTCACTTGTCGGTGTCGTCCGACTCCTCGACATCCCGTCCTTCTCGTTGCCACTGGACGCCGTGCTTCGGAATGGACTCGTCGAACCACGCCTCGCAACGGAAGGTCACGCTGCTGCCTTTCAGGGTCTTGGCGTTGGCGGGCCCCACCAAAATCTTGGTGGCTCCTGGAAGAGATCAGAGGCGTTGGGCCCTCGCTTCCCCATCATGCCTTGCGGTGGTCTCGGCAGGCCTCAACTAAATGTGCCCCCCCCCTTTTCAGTACACGGGGTTGCCAGCTTCAGCTTGGGAAATACCTGGAGATTTGGGGAATGGAGGCCAAGAAGAGTGGGATTTGGGAAGGGGGTGGGAATTCAGTGGGGTCTAATGCCTGAGAGTCCACCTTCCAAAGTGGCCATTTTTCTCCAGGGGAACTGATCTCCGTCACCTGGAGATCAGTTGCAATAGCCAGAGGCCTCCAGCCACCACCCGGAGGTTTCTATATCAAACAAACACTGATAAAAATGGCAATGACATTTAATAAATCTTATGAACATCAAATTAGATTACAAATGAAACGTTTACAATATGACTAAGGAATTTCTAACATTCTCAAGGAAAAGTCCATCCTCTTCAACGAGCACCCGGTTATAAGCTCGTTTCACCAATCTTCCTCAGGGGCAATTGTTGGGATTCTTTTTAAGTAAGTCAGCAGAGTATTAAGAGACTGAGTCCATGGTGTGTATTAAAATATAAAAGTTTACTATAAGCCTAACATGGGGAAAAGGTACACAGGATATGAAAATAACAAAGAGCTAATATGTCTACATCCTTGCAGCTAAAAGGTAAAACGGGAAGAGCCGAATGGCGTCTCCTTCTCAGTCAGAACAAAGAACGGGAAGAGAAGCCATAAAATGGTAATACACCTTGACACTTTAGTCCCAATCAAATCCCTAGATCAGGGAGAAAATTCTCGGGCTTCCTATTGTCTAAACAGATTGGTTACAAACAAACATGTGACTTAACAAACATCATTAACCCTGTAAATACTGAAGTGTTTTGACTTGTCACACCCAACAGTAATCCTATTATACTGAAAGGGGTCAGCCTCTTGATACAGCTTAACTTCTTTTTTACTTTCTTCAGATTATCCTCTGGTTCCATTTTCAAATTATTACAGCTTAAATTCAATGAAAGTAGAAATGAACTTAAGCGGTAATAATCTGAAAATGGAACCAGAAGATAATTTGAAGAAAATAAAAAGAAAAGTTAAGCTGTAAAAATTCGAAGGAAGTAACAAAGAAGTTAAACTGTATCAAGAGGTTAACACCTTTCAATGTAATACGATGACTCCTGAGCAATATTCCCTCTAAGATGTGGGGTCTTGTGAGCAAAAATTCTACTTTGTGAGCTGCCGGCATTAAAGTTGTGAGAGAGCAGTTTGGCTACTGCATACATTAGTTTGCTCTGGAGCCCCATCCTTCCTGAGCTGAGACAAAAATGTGTGAGCCCAAGACAAAACTGTGTGAGCCAGAGGCTAAAAAACTGTGAGCCAGCTCACACTAACTCAGCTTAGGGGGAACACTGCTCCTGAGGAAGTTTGGTGAAACGAGTTTATAACCGGGTGCTCACTGAGGATGGACTTTTCCTTGAGAATGTTTGAAATTCCTTAGTTATATTGTAAAAGTTTCATTTTCATAAGATTTATTAAATGTCATTGTCATGTTTGTTTGCTGGATATATTTTCCTTGTAACTGTGATCCCTTTTTTGGGGGGGTTACTTAACGACCTGGAGGTTGGCAACCCTATTCGTGCAACTTCCGCTCCTTCCATCGCAACTGGGGCCAGCCCATCTTATTTTGGTGCCCCAAGAGAGAAAACTTAATTGGCAGGCTCCCTCTACCCGTTAATTAAGAATAGTGAGATAGCTTTGAGTCCACCAGCCCCTTAGAGACCAACAAGGTTTTCAGAGTGCCAGGTTTCAAGAACCAAAGCTCTCTCCAGATACCTTCCCCAAAGCATCATCATTCACCAGGGATGACTACTGAAAAACAGCTAGATTTGAGCCTAGTAGTAGTAGAGGAGGAGGAGGAGATTGGATTTATACCCTGCCTTTCACTACCCAAAGGAGTCTCAGAGCGGCTTACAAACTCCTTTCCCTCCCCCTCCCCACAACAGACATCCTGTGAGGTAAAAGAAGAAGAGGAGATTGGATTTATCCCCTGCCCTTCACTACCCAAAGGAGCCTCAGAGTGGCTTACAATCTCCATTCCCTTCCCCTCCCCACAACAGACACCCTGGGAGGTAAAAGAAGAAGAGGAGATTGGATTTATCCCCTGCCCTTCACTACCCAAAGGAGCCTCAGAGTGGCTTACAATCTCCATTCCCTTCCCCTCCCCACAACAGACACCCTGGGAGGTAAAAGAAGAAGAGGAGATTGGATTTATCCCCTGCCCTTCACTACCCAAAGGAGCCTCAGAGTGATTACAATCTCTATTCCCTTCCCCCTCCCCACAACAGGCACCCTGTGAGACAGGTGGGGCCGAGAGAGCTCTTTCGAGGACTGCTCTTGAGAGAACAGCTCTGAGAGAACTTGTGACTGACCCGAGGTCATGCCAGCAGCTACAGACCAACAAGATTTTGGGGGTATAAGCTTTGAAGAGCCAAACCTGCCTTTGTCACATTGAAATACTCTCTTCACTGAAACGAACTGGGAACTGTCAGGAGAGCATCTCTGTTCCATTTCATTATTTATTTAATTTGTTTATGCCCCTGCCTTTCTCCCCAAAGGGAGCCCACAGCGTTTTATTTCATTCTCCTCTCCTCCCTCTTATCCTCACAACAACTCTGTGAGGTAGGTTAGGCTGAGAGAGGGTGACTGGCCCAAGGTCACCCAGTGAGCTTCCATGGCACAAGTGAGGATTTGAACCTGGGTCTCCCACATCCTAGTCTAGCACATCCACTACACCACATTGGCTCTCATCCCATTTCCCACTCTGTTTTATTGGCACCCTAAAATCCAACCCCATGTAAACCAGCCACTTTATAGGCTTTGTGGTACAGTCAGCCCTTGATTACAGCGGCCATTGGGCTGGCGTTCAGTTACCTCAGCGGTTTGATTTTATACATGAAGAGGTTTTTCTTAGGTCAGTTCAATATCGGCCTACTTTGTCTTTCAGTCTCTGTCGCTATAAATGATTTAATGTATGCAAATGAGCTACAGTGTTTCTCTGCCACCACCTCTGACCAGAGAGAGGGAGAGGGAGGGAGGGAGAAAGAGAGAGAGGGAGAGAGAGAAAGGGAGAGGGGGGAGAGAGAGGAAGACAGGCAGAGAGGAAAAGAGAGAGAGGGAA